GTTGGCCCTTTTTGTAAAGATAACCTATATAGCTTGGGACGTTCTAGATTTTTCCTCAGATGGTATTTATTAAGAGCTGCATTCTTTGCTGCAAGAGGAATTACATCAACTTAAAGGACAGACTTCTTTAAAAGACAGACTTCTTATACTGATGATTTTATTTAAAGTGGCAATAATAGAAGTGCTTCTGGCACAAAAAGTTTTCGGTGTCCTCTTGTGTGCTTTAGTGGACATCAACTCCTTCAATGAAAGGATCTTTTATTTTCTTTCAGATAGAAAATTTGAAACACATACGTTACCTTTTGCCCAAGGCCACCCAGATAATAAGGGAAGGAATCAGGTTTCCTCCAAACCTATGACTCTGTGGCCCATGTTCTTCATCAGGATGCTATGTCACTCCTAAACGAATAATGTACATGTGGAGGAAAAAGTGCCCATCAAGTTCCAAGAACATAAACAATCACAGGAAGTAATAACCACTTACGCTTTAAAAGAGTTTACATAGGAGTTCCGTGTGAGAAGGGGAGGACAAATAGACATTGGATTTGAGGGGTCTAAGTGCAAACGTTTTGATATACAGACATACCTGAATCATAAGAGATTCGAAATTAACTGAGGAAGCTGATCTCCAGCAAGGAACTTGGAATGTTTTCAAAAACACTATTCTCTGTGTTTCCTGGAGAGAAAAACAGGAAATGGGCTTCTAAAAAAGTCTGTTCAGGTTGAGTTGGACTTTCAAAAGACTTCCTTGCCAAATGAGTTTCTAAAAGGATTTATGGAAATTGTTCTTTTAGATACATTTGCATTTTGCTTGGTTTCATTTGGTTTTTAATATCAGACTAGACTAGTTTAGTGAATTCCGGTAAGAGACCAAACACAGCCCTGTGAGGGGATTTTGGTCTTTGGAACAAAATGAAAGGAGTGCCCAATTCTGCAGACAATGAAGTCACACTTTGTTGTTTCTCTAGAGAATATTCTTAACATCACTAAACAGATTCTGAAACTGTTCTGCCTAGATTTTATCTGCTGCAGAGTTAAAGTAGAAGCCTCTATCCACCCAGCAGCCGACTCAGACAGATGCAGACACCCACAGCCAAACAGTGGATGGAGCTTGGAAACTCTTATGGAAGAACAGGAGGAAGGATTAAGGCCCCCAAGGGCATAGAAACTTCACAGGAAGACCAACAGAGTCAACTAATATGGACCTTTGGGGTTCTCAGAGACTGAACCACCAACCAAAGAACATACACGAGCTGGACCTTGGCCTCCTCACACATATGTAGCAGATGTGCAGCCTTGGTCTTCATGTGGGTCCTGAACAACTGGAGGGGGAGGCTGTCTCAAAAGCTGTTGCTTGTTCATGGGATACTCCTAGCTGGGCTGCCTTGTCTGGCCTCAGTAGGAGAGGCTGCACCTAGCCTTACAGAGACTTGATGCACTAGGGTCGGGGAATCCCCAGGGGAGTCCCCACCTGCTCAAAGAAGGAGAAAGGGCAGGGGGAAGGATTTGAGGAGGGGGTGACCCAGAGGGAGACAGTGAGTGGGATATAAAAAATAGTAATATAAGTAAGAAAATTATAGCAAAAAAGTAGAAGCCCCTAAGAAGAACGGTAATTTCAGTATAAAATGACAATTAGTTGTCATACATGAGATTGTCTCCTAAATTTTTATGAGAATTACTAAGAAGTTAGTAAAATAATATTATTTTCTTCTCTTTTCTTAAATACATAGGTACACAAACTACATAAACCACTGTGTCTTTGCATTCTCTTATTATATGTGTTTCTACATAAATCTGTGCTTGTTACATATTTATGTGTGTAGAAATACATGTCCATGAATCAAATCTCTCTCTCTCTCTCTCTCTCTCTCTCTCTCTCTCTCTCTCTCTCTGTCTGTCTTTCTCTTCCTCTGTGTGTGTGTGTGTGTGTGTGTGTGTGTGAACCAGCTTTCCATAAAACCTCTACAAAAAAAAATCTCTAATAAATCACTTTGTAAAGAAAACAAGTTCATTGTTGCTCAGAGTTTTGGAAGTTTTCATCTATTATGAATTGGCCCAGTTGCTCTTGGCAACATACTATGCCTCAGATGGAAACATTTTGAAGATCATGTCTCTTTACCTTATGGTGACTAGGAAGAGAAAAGAGAAAAAGACAAATGCCCCACAACCCATAGCAAGAGAATACCTCCAATTATGTAAACCCTCCCAATAGGCCACACTTCTTAAAGGTTTCTACCACCTTTCGATGGCACCAAAGTCGTGACCAAGTCTTTAACACATGGGGCTTTAGGATGTAGACCAGATTCAAACTATACCAATGTGTGTAAAATGATATAGTCAGTATAAGAATCAAAAAACACAAGTCAGGATCTAGCTATATATGTAGGGGAGAATGGCCTTGTTGGGCATAGATGGGAGAGAAGGTCCTTGGTCCCATGAAGGCTGGATGTCTCAGTGTGGATGAATTCAAGGCTGGGGAGGTGGAGGTGGAAGTGGATGGGTGAGTGGGGGCACATCCTCATAAAAGCAGGAGGAAGGGGGATGGGATAGGAGGTTTCTGGGTAAGGGAGAAATAGAGAAAGGGGATTGAAAAGATTTTTTGGCAAGTAGCTTGAACAGATAATGCCAGACCAGACGGTTCCACGAGGGGGAATTTATTCGGGGTGGACGGAAGAGAGCAAGAGGAGAGAGAGCAGAGAAGAGAAGAGGAGGG